CTCAGCTCCTATAATAGGTCTAAAATAAAATCCAAAATATTAGATCGATAAACACAAAAATCACCCCTCTGAAACCCATTAAAACCACATTTGTATCTCACTGCCATAACATTATTCATCATATTACATCAGCCCTTGCTTCAACATGTGTAGTTTTTTCTTATTTTATACTTTGGACATTGCTGCTGTATTATGTGTAAGATGCAATTTAACATAATCAGCTGCTAATCATTGACATACCCCAGACTGTGAACCCCCCTAGCTAAAATAAAAGGACAACATTTTAATTCAATTTGATACTACTGTATATAAGGATTTTAGTAAAAAAAAAACACTGTCAAAATTATAAATAATAATAATACACAGTAAGTGGATTTTTTTTTACATCTGATACTGTACAAAAATGTTAAAAGGCATCAAAATCAAAATGTTTGCTAATCATTGACATATCCCAGAGTTTTCATTTTAAAATGAAAATAAAACAAAAACACTAGCATTTTATAAACAACTATAAATGATTAAAATATAGAAAATTATTATTTGATAAAGTAACTTTAAGGACTGAAATGGTTGAAAATGATATCTAATTCAAAGAATAATTTAAAAGTTTGTGGCATTTTTATGTAAGGGACATTTTTAATGATCTAATGACTTCAGAGCAACTTGATTAAAAAGGAGAAACAAGGGTTCGGTGTCTTATCTTTTCATATCAGGCTGTGGTGAATTATCTTCAGATTATGTGACAGACAGGTCCGACTCACCGAGGACGAACAGAACTGGGATGAAGTTGGTGTTGGTGAACTGGTCGCAGTAAAGGGCGATCCGCTCAAACAGATCCTGCTGCTTCGGGGACAGGAGGAACCTGGGAGGAGAATTAAAACACCAGAAGCAAACACTTAATCATACCAAGCAAACAGCAGAATTAAAAGATGGAATCAGTGCATTTACCTGTAAAACACACTGAAGAACACATAAACCCCGCAGAAGAGCAGGAAGTCTTTGTAGAGCAGCTTGTAGATGCTTCCCTTCCACCTGAGCAGCAGCTTGCAGAAACCCCCAAATCGAGCGTCGGCCACCTCAAGAGTGTAAGAAACAGTCATGTCTGGGTTCGTTACAGCTGAATAATCCTGTAAAATATCAATATGTGATGCATGAATCATGATGTATACATTATATTACAACAATCTCCCTTTAAAATACAATATAAATCAGTGTCTCACCTGTGAATGCAGGTGAATCACCTGGTGCGGCCGTCCTGGGAGGAAGAGCTCTTCCTCTGGCTCTCAATTTAAACCTCTCTGTTGTCGTCATAAATTAACTTTACTAATTTATTACCTGGGAACCTGCAGATACACACCTATAGTAACTCAGTGAGTGTGCAGTTTTATCCTCGATTGGTAATGTTAGGGGCTTATTTTGTGTGATCAGATAACATTTATCATTGATTTAAAATATGAGCACAGAAGCAAATTCCCCCAGTGTTTAAAAAGTATTGATTACAGTTCAATTCAGTTCTTTGATCAAAGTTGATATGAGAGTATTTGTTTTCACAGAGCTGTAAATGTCCAACATGATTTAAACCGGATTTTCTTGACTTTTTATGAATGATTCATCTACAGATTATTTTCATAAATAATTCAATAAATAGTTGGCAATAAAAAAGTGTTGGAATATAATAAAAATAAGATTAAGAAAAAGAAAGAAGAATATAGTCATACGAATAATCATCACCATAATAAGGTATATAATAATAATAATAATAATAGGTTTTGTCATTGTTTGTTTGTTTGTTTTGAAAACTTGAGTGGGGATGAAATATAACATGACAACCATCTCTGTTGTTCTCTTATATATTCATATTTTACTTCATATATCCTTTTAAAATAAGTGTTTCCCATTAATTAATTAATTAATTAATTAATTGTATCTCTGTTTTCTTTTTGTTGCTAATTCATTTCTTAGTGTCATGTTGAAATCTTGAATGTGATGTAATTTTACCCCTACTCTAATACAAAATTATACAACAGAAAAATATGTAGAAACAACGCAAAATCGGTCATAAAATAGTTGCAGGTTTCATTTTCTGTTTATTTAATATTGATTTGAACTTTCCCTTACAAGAAACTTTGCTAATGCAAATAAAAACAACCGCACAAATATAAAAGACAGATATAAAACAATCTCAAAAACAGTTCACAAGAAACAGGAAGTAACGTAGAAGGTTAAGCGTAGCCCTTGATGGTTAAAAACAGTTATATATATTTTTCTTTTGAGAGTATAAAACAGTATTTTGAGTATTTTTCCACATCTAGTATCCGTTCCAGATTCTTCTAAAATCAGGACACTCTGACCTCTGTTATCTGAGAGAAACCGATGCCCGGCCACAGAACATCAAATAACCCCCAGATTGATTTGCACAGCAGAGTTATTTACTGTCCTGTGATAAAAACACGTTTACAGTGTCAGATGAGTTCGTCTCTCAGTCTGTTGTCATTGGCTGCTGTTCCCTGCTCACTTGTTTGTTTTTCACATCGTTACAAAGTGTGTTGTAAATCTGTTTTATCCTCTGACTCTATTTGCTCTCCGCTCAGCTGACAGGATATTTATGAGACCGTCTATCCTCCATCAGAGCCGGAAAACTGATCCCTGTGGACTTCCCTTTATTATTTATCAGCAGAATGTGAGCCTCACTCTGACTGTAGATTTAACTCAATGCATTTATTACCAATAGATGAATGCATTCATCTTAATAAAGTGTTTTTTCTTTGGCTGATAAATGACAGATGTAGTTCCTGTCACTAGAGGGCGCTCTCGTTGAGCAGCAGGCTCTCAGCAGGCTCTCAGCCCTGAGGCCTGTCGTCTGTATTTATCTCATAAACAAAGAAACATTAAGGCTCTTTATTGACAGAAAACAGTGAAAGAGCATCTGACTCATTTAATGTCATGCTCATTCAAAACACTGAAAGAACAAATCAGCTGTTTGCACTCCATATTATTACATTATTACAATTTCCTATAATGTTAATTGTTATTTTTCAACTGAAATATGCAGCAGTGGACTAAGAACACATACTCAAGTCATGTTAATAAGTATAATTGAAGTACCTTAGTTGACTATTTTAATACACCCCTACTACATTTTGGAGTCATACATGGAGATACATAAGTCTATATACATAGATTGTATTGGCTGACTGTTTTTCTTGCAATTAAACACCCAAAATGTTAAGCTCCTCTCTACAGTCTTATTCCTGAGATATCCAGAAATGATGCCCACTGGTATATAAAGTATTTCAAAAATGAATATCACATGATCTCATACATATTACTCTTAAATGGACTATGCAAAAATAACTTTTGTACTTTGATTTTGAATGCAAGTTTTCCTTGTAACATTTGTCCACTGTTGAATTGTTACTTTTACTTAGGTTAAATATCTGAGGACTTTTTCTACCTCTATAAGTATGACACAAAAATATAATTTAAAAACGATTTTACACGTACTTTCCACTTTTTCATGTGTGTCTCTATCCCATGTTAATCTAGAGCAGGGGGGTCAAACTCAATTTCATCACGGGCCACATCAGCATTATGGTTGCATTCAAAGGGCCGGTTGTAACTTGAAGACTTTATAAAAATACATATATAAATATATCATATATAAAATAATGTATTATATTACATTATTGCCTCTGCATTGGATTATTATCGGATAGGGTAATAACTTCATAATTAACTACGTCTGAAAGCAGAAGTCTAGGGCAAATAATTGCAAGTCTCTTCAGTGTGAATGTCACAAAATGATTTAAAAGGAAAAGCCACATTCTGGACATTTTGAAGAAAAAAAGTCCAATTCTAAGAAAAAGTCAAATTTGAGATGCATTGTGGGACATGTAGTTTATGGGCAATGTGCTTCTGTAAATCGGCATGTAACCGTATAATAAACATATTACATTCTTTCAGAGCTCTTGTGGGGCCACATGAAGTGAAGTCACGGGCCGGATTTGGCCCCCGGGCCTTGAGTTTGAAACCCCTGATCTAGAATCAATGGTTAGACTTTAATCTTGATTTATAGACAAAATAAACTCCCATAAACCTCCATAGATTTTGTTTTCCATCGTTTCCTGCTCATATATTTCCGGTCTTGCACTGGATCTCCTGGTCCTTGGTTTAGGCTTTTGAGAACAGGACAGACTGATCGTATTGGGTTTCCTAACGCGGTAATTACAACTTCCCACAGCGAGGTGAAATTAGAGCTCAAAGTGGGATTTCAGGTATCTGGGGGCGGCCCGGGTCATTGTCGGTTCAGAAAGATACGAAAGGCCACAGAAAAAAAGGTTAAATGAAAAGATCTGGAGCATGCAGCAAAAAAAGGAAGCAAAATAATAAAAATATTTAGTTTCTGTTTGTTTGTCATCATCATCATCATCATCATCATCCTCATCATACACTGAGGCACAAATCTGGAATTTTCTTTTTCTTGCAACAATAAACATTTTGTATATAAAAAACTGTGAAGTTAGTGCATCTGCCAGAATAAACAATATAATATTAATCAGTGCATCATACCAGTATACCCATTTAGTTTAAACAGACAAGGATCACTAATGCTATATGCTAGTAGCTGTTACTAAACAAACAGAGGTTAAGGACTAAATTCACTTTACAAATGTTGAGGTCATAGGTTCTTATTACTCTCGGCAAGTTTGGACCAGAAACCAACATCAAAGTCTCTAAAATTGTTGATCCAGATTAATAATTTATTCTTAATGTATCATTTGAAGGCCTAAAAGAAGGCAAGTTGTAATTTATTGAACCTAAAAGACATGTTTTAATTGACACTGGCAGTTAGCTTAGTCTAGCTTAGCAACATTACAGCACAGCAGGCCTGAACATTTGGGGATTTATTTAACAGTATAACAAGAAAAATACTTGTAATCCAAAGACTTTGGAGGCTGTTGTGCTTTTTTTTTAGCCTTTCAAAAAAAACAACACAAGAACAAAAGTAGACCGTGTTTATATGCGGTATCGTCATCGCTAGCATGAACACTGGTAGCCAAATGTTACTTTCAATTTACCTAGGTAGATACATGTGCCAAAAAAATGGCTAGTGACATAGTTTCAGAAAAAATAACAAGCCTGTATTTGTCAAGCCAATTCTTGGGAACATCTGACAGTTAACAATAAGATAAACCAAATAAATAATGCTACCAATAGAATGGTAAAACTACATTTGCCTAGTAGCTACAATACACTTACATTTGTTATATCAGGTTATTTCTCTGTGTACAAAATTACAAAAAGCAACATTCACTCATTTGTCTGCTTGTCTTTTGACCTAAGGACCTCTGGCAGTAAACCTCACAGTGTCCATAAATAAATCTTTAATGGAAAAAACTTGATAACCCCACTGGAAAATTACCTCCGGTGTTTTAAATTCCAGGAAGCTCCACACCCTTCAGGCTGCACCCACTTTCTGTGTGTCCGTCTCACTAAACACGAGGCAATTAGCGTTAGACGTTTCCCACAACTTGGATGACCCTGATTTTTTAGTTTTTGTGTCTCCAGTGTCATTTTGTGGTAGAACCATTGCACAGAAATGCTCTACATCTCAGGTTACTTTACAGAGATTTGTATCTTAAAACCAGCATTCCCCTGCATTTAGATCTGACTGCGCTGATTGTTTCCAACATATACGCACATTTAGTACGTGACGTGAACCATGAGCAAGCCTTTCATCCTTTATCCAGGGGCATATATAAATTTAGACTCCTCACCTAAGCTTTACATTCCACATTTCACAATGAATTAACTGTTGGCCCTGCAATGAGATTAGTCATTAGTCATTGTTCATTTCTGGATGTGCAGCTTAAAGTGAAGGATCCAGAACATCCTGTATGCAGTACAAGTCACACTGGAAAGCCTTAAACAATTACACTTGGGTGAGTTAAAGGAGAGTGCACACAAAAGAGTGCCTGACTTCGATTAATAATGCATTTAAAATATGTCCTGCTCTTTGTAATACAGGTGAAAACAATATGAAGTGTTCATTTGTGTGGAGTGCAACATCATATATACAATAAATGTCTTAGTTTTTTCCAGAGTGAAAAAAGGCGGGCCTCCCTTTCAAACGTCACTGCGTTGCTCAGGTCCCACAGGAAAAGCTCCGGATTAAATCACTTCCTCTTACATTGTGAAAGCACAGTGGTCGGACCACTCTCTCTCTCACAATAGATAACTTGCTTTTTCTGTAACACACACACACACACACACACACACACACACACACACACACACACACACACACACACACACACACACACACACACACACACACACACACACACACACACACACACACACACACACACAGGGTCTGTTTAGAGCATCATTTGACATTTTGATGGAAAACACTTTCTTGTCAAGAGTTAGATGAGAAGAAAGATGCAGGTTCTCAGAGACAGGATTAGCTTAGCCTAGCTTGGCATGTCCTCTGTTCCCATGATCCTATGTTATTTATATAAACTAACATATTCAAATATTTGTAAGGGCTGTATTTGCAGAGAAAATTGTAAACAAATAAAGGGAGATGGACGATTGAAAAGAGGTTTGAATGGTAAAGATCTTTTAACCCACAGCCATATATCACAACTTTGGTGACTGACTAGCGCTAGCAGTTTTCTTGTTAGCTGTTAGCTAACCAGCTACAGTAGCTTTCAAACTAGTTCTGCAAAAATAGTGACATCTTCAAAAAGCTTCTTGCCTTGCCTAATTCAAAAAGAGTGGGTGGATAAACTTAAACTTTACCACTTTCTGGTTTCAACAAAGCTCACTAATTTATAGGTTGTATCTAATAAGTTGAATCGACATGTAGAAACAAACACAACACAGTCAGGCTATCTGTTTCCCTGCTTCCAGTCTTTATGCTACGCTAACGGCTCTATACTTTAAGCCCCAAAAATAAACTTGGTTTCAAAACTTAAGTTTCTCTTTAAAATGAATGTTTATCACTAAATAAGCAAGAGTCAAAGTTTAAGTAAAGGAAAATATCCATATTTTGCAGTTTAACACTCAACGATGTTCAAACCAGTGAAAAGAGCACAGATAAAAACTAATGCAGAAATCTGTGAGTGTGAATTAACTGAACTTTGCTGCTGTGTTTATTGTATTTTTGTACTTCTGGCACAACAATTTCCTTCGGGATAAATAAAGTCTTATCATATCTTAACAAAGTTTTTTGTTTGACTCCAAACCGAGAAGCTGATTGAGCAAATAGATTTTAGAGAACTTTAAAACAAACATATGTAGGATTAAAATCTTCTCATGTAACTCTTGTAAAAAAAGAAACTACATTTGAGCAATTCTTTTGACCTGTTGTCACGAGAGGCTGACGTTCTCATACTCTCCGTGGTCCGAGTCCTCGAGCTCGATCCCGGGCACCAGGCTGTAGTACTCGGTGCTCTGAGTGAGGTACGCCTTCTCTCTGTCAGTCGAGTCCTTCATCACCTCCGTCACGCTCACCGTGTCCAGCTCGGTCTTCTTGGTCCCTTCAGAGCCCGGAGGAACCTGCTTCCCCTCTGAGGAGCAGATGGAGGTCACACGAGGAAGAGACTCCACCGAACCCAGCTTAATCTCCACCTCTTCGTAGATGTCTCTGGTGCTGCCCAGCAGGGTGGAGGCTGGGCGGAGCAGCAACTGGTTCTTCAGGATCCCCTCTTTGTGTTCTGCTTTATTTTGATCGCCAGGCGTAGGTTTCTGCTTGCTGCGATGCTTCTGGCAGTTACTGGAGTTGGTAGCTCTCTTTTTCGAGGTGCTTAATGACGCTTCCTTCTTCTTCCTCTTCCTCCCGCAGCACCAGCAGAGCACCAGGGCAGAGAGGATGAGGAGCGGCAGCACGATGAAGAGCGCGGTGAGACCAGCTGGGCGGCACACGTCACTGATTCTCACCGAGAACACCGTCCTGCCGGCCAGGTGCCGAGGAGTCACGCAGGTCAGGTTCCTCACCAGATCCTGCATCTTAACCGTCCTGTTCAACTTCCCAGCGTCCTCCAGGCCTTCCAGTAACACACAGGAGCAATCCCACGGGTTCCCATCCAGATCCAGGGTTTGCAGACGGGGCCTCACAAGCACAGAGTCTGGGAGGAGGCGAAGCTGGTTCCCCTGAAGATTCAGCTTCTGGAGGACGTCTGATTCCTGGAGGAAACCCTCAGGCAGCTCCTGAATCAGATTCCCGCTCAAATCCACCTCCATTAGCCTCGGCTGCCCGCTTAGAAACCCCCTGGGCAACACTGTGAGTCTGTTATGACCCAAGTAAACCCTCTGCAAGGTAGACACGTCGTTGCCGGTCATATTAACCGAGCTGATATTACAGAAGGAGAGATCCAGCGTCTTAATGTTCGTCTCGTTGGTAAACACAGACCAGTGCACATGGCTGAAAGTGGAGCCGGAGTAGTTCAAGCAACAGGCGTCAGCAGGTATCTCAAAGGGAAACTGGGATAAAACAGTGGCTTCTGGACATACACATGCTCTCACAGGTTCCATCTTCAACAGGAACAAGAAGATCAGCAGGGCGCCACGCTGGGAAGGCATCTCTGAAACAGAAAACAGACTGTAACTTCACCTGTGCTGCTTAAGAATCCATCTTTCTTTCTCTCTTCTTACCTACCTGCCTCCTGTCTCTCCTTCTCTGACTGGATCAGCTTTATGAAGGCTCACGGTTGTAAACCTAGCGATTTCTCCGAGGACTCCTTGTTGCCGTGAGGATTGGGGGGGTTGGCATGGTGATGCGGGTCACTGGGGATCAGGAGTCCAGTGTTTGGCTGTCGGAGAGGAAACAGATGCTGCTGTGAGTTTCACATGAAGGCTCTGCTCTTAATTGGCAGATGGAGGTTGTACAAACATTACCTGAAGGCAAAGATGGAGCCTGAAGAGGTTCAGCCAGCAGGTTATTGTGTTTACTTAGAGTGGAAGCGCCCTTAAATCTGATGTAAAGATTTAATTTATTTTATATTTTAGGCTCCTTCTAAATTAAAGGTGGGGTAGGTAAGTTTGAGAAATCGGCTCGAGATCGCTAGAATTTGAAAATACACAACCGGAGAAAATCTGCCACTTCCTTACAGAGCCCCTCCTCCAACACACACGAACGCGCACATGACCAATGAGGGCACGAGATAAGTTTGTGCACAGATGGAAGGCTGACAGGCAGGTAGGCCATCCAGTTATTTTAGCCGGGCCGGCTCAGATGATTGGTCGTGCTTTTTACAGTACTACGGCTTCCACAGATGAGATTTTATGGATTTTTTGTCAAAGCACTTAAGATATTCATTGCTATCGGGATGTTAAGAGCATTCCATGGAATATAACAAAAAGTGTATCTCGAGCCGGTTTCTCAAACTTACCTACCCCACCTTTAATGGAAATGATCTGTCAATAAACCTAACTTGTTATTAATTGTTAAAAATGTTTATCCATCTAATCTTAAAACAAATTGCTCGTGTTTTCAGTAATTTAGAAGTTTTCAGTCAATGTTGCGGTAATTAAAGATTTATCCTTTATTTTTCTCTTTTGACTGTGTAAGTCTTTTCTTTTGTTGTGTTCTTTTGTTGTGTACTGATGATATTGTACATGTTGTTTACTATGGTGGAAAAACTAACAAAAACAGAAAAGGCTTTCTGACAGGGAATGGAAGCCATTATAAACCATCTGTCAGCATCATTTACTTTTAGGAGGTCTAAGTAATAATAATAAATAATGTGAGATTCCCTAAACTCACTGTAATTCATGTAGAATTTCCCCCTGTATGGCTATTTCAGTGTCATGTTTGATACCGTGTGTCTACTTGACAGACCGTAACATGACAACATTTGGGAAACCCTATAATTGAAGAGATTAAAAAAGTAATTGCTGGGCACTTCCTAAATCTCCTATGTGTTCAGCGACGCTGCCTGAACATAAAAGCATGTGTGGTCGACATAAACAAGGCCTGTGTTTTCTGACTTTACATGTGAAGCAGGCAGGAAGAGAGGGAGTGTGTTCGGTCATCAGACTTCCTCACACACCACAATGGAAATCTGCTCCACAGTCCGGAGGCAGGAATGTGCTAACACCCCAAACAGCACCAGAGGATAGTTTAAACAGGACCAATGTGTCCGCTGGGATCATCCATTAACCAAAGAATCAATTCACCTGCTGATGTTAAAACGCTATTTGCAAAGACGTTCACTTGGACTGTACTTTGTCACAGTTAATGCTCATCTCAGCATGCTAACAAGCTCAATAATGATGACGCTGGATTTTAGCATGCTGACATTGGCTAAACAAGTGCAGCTAGGGCTGATGGGAATGTTTGGACATAAAGCAAAGACATATTAAACATTTGATCTGATGAATGTGCCGAATGAAAGCTTTTGTCTCATTCACTAGGCAAGCATTCATCGTTTGAATTGACGAGAGCAATCTTGCAGTCCAGTATGTAAAGAGTCAATAGGAGCTACTCTTTAAGAGTTCTTAAAAGTAATAATGAACCATAGAAATGAGAAGACTACACATGTATTTTCAGCCTGGACTTCAGCAGAGCAGCAGAGTGTCTAACAAACGCAGGAAGTGTGCGTCACAGGAAAGAAACTCTGACTCTTTGTTTCTGGCAGAGATGATGTAATATATCCAACATAGAGCAGAGGGTGGGAGGATGAGATACTGCAGGTACGAGGAGGGCTGTTTACGTTATCAAGAGTTATTTTCATTCTTTTGTGACACTGTACTTAATAGTAATCTAACATGGAGATAATCAGCCAAAACCTAGCAGTGGAAAGTGACAACTATTATGACAACTCATTTTAATAAGAAATGAGCAACCTCAAAGTACATAAATATGTTAAAATCAGCTCCACATTTACAAGCTGCAACATAAACGTGATTTAATGAAAGATCACTTTTATAATCAATAATATAAATCATGAAAATAATGATGTTTGTTTTGAGTCTAATGCTGATTTAGTTTTACTTAAACAAGGACTTTTACATGTAGAGTATTGGTGTTATTGATATCTTTATTCATGCCTTGAGTTTTCTTCCACTTCTGTCAACACAGAGTAATATTCAACCAGGTTGTTTTTGTTCTCCGTGGTTCACAGCAGGTGAAACAGTTAATATTTCCGGCAGCAGACGGACGGAGAGCCGGTTGTTTGGATTAAATAAAAGAACAAAAGGTGATTGATGTGAGAAATGACAGCTACCACAGCTGAACAAAGAGCAGATACACGTCCAGTGAAAGTCTCCATTATATTACAATATAGTCATCAACTTCATCTTTCTGCCCCTCATTAAGGGGCTACATGATTTCATTCAAAATAACTTAAACGCTGCAAAAAACAAGGTGTTGATATAACATTGATATGTTATCACCTTTTAAATTGAAGACATGCATTTATGGTTGAAATAGCATACACAGATCAACAATAACTTCAATTTAAAGGGGGGGTAGGTAAGTTTGAGAAACCGGCTCGAGATACACTTTTTGTTATATTCCATGGAATGCTCTTAACATCCCGATAGCAATGAATATCTTAAGTGCTTTGACAAAAAATCCATAAAAAAATGTCATCTGTGGAAGCCGTGGTACTGTAAAAAGCACGACCAATCATTTTAGCCGGCCTGGCTAAAATAACTGGATGGCCTACCTGCCTGTCAGCCTTCCATCTGTGCACAAACTTATCTCGTGCCCTCATTGGTCATGTGCACGTTCGTGTGTGTTGGAGGAGGGGCTCTGTAAGGAAGTGGAAGATTTCAGCCGCCGTCACTGACGTTCAACCACACAACATCAGCCGTTAGCTGTTAGCAGTTAGCACACAGAGCTCACAGCTCCTCATATCCGTTCAGAAACTGGACAAAAATTAAACAAGTACAAACCACAGACTGTCTGTGTCATGGTGCATACAGTCGCTGCTTATTTATGTCTGTAGGCCGTTGTTATGAGTGTGGAATGAGCATATACAACGTTAGCTTAGCCTGGTTGACCCGATCTTCATTCAGAAAACAAGCATTTTAAAAGGTGTTTTGCCTGCCGTCTTGTCTGCAGACTTTAAAAGCATTAATTCATGGGTGTTACTAACCGGTATCAGTATGTTGTTACTTCGGCATCATTTAGAAACGTGTATTACAATTTAATCACGGTAAAATATGTTCATTTGTTGTAGTTGTAGCTCCCGAGCCAGCGCGTCTTGTTTGAATGATGCGAGTAAACACAGCTGGCAGCCGCGGTGAACCTCCAGCGTTTAGAGCGATGCGATAGGAGCGATTAGAGCGAAGCGAATAGTCGCATCGCGTCCGGTGTGAACGCAGCATAAGGAAGTAGCAGATTTCTTCCGGCTGTGTATTTTCAAATTCTAGCGCACTCGAGCTGGTTTCTCCAAAATTACCTACCCCACCTTTAAGTGGAGTATTTTTCCAAGTGATGAATTGAGTCAAATATTGTGTCCTTTCCATCTGTGTTTAGCGGCTTAATGCTCCACTATATTTACCAGCTAGTCAATTACCTTTTCAGCGGTTTTATGCTTGACAGGTTGAGTAAACTTTTTAATCAAAAACAGCTGACTGCTGCTGGAACTGTTGAGAGTAAACCAAACTGTTAAAGTTGTGGGACGTAAAACAACAAGATAAAAAACTCTGTAAAGCTGAGAGTAACAGCAGAGACTTCTTCCACATGCAAGAAGCCTTGTTGTCATGTTTATATACATTTATTTATTAAAGTAGCATTTTATTTCAAAGATATGTGACACTTATTGCTCTGTGATGCTGTTTAGTTCATTTGGTTCAATTTAAAGCAGCAATTTCTTCTTAAATCCCCCAGAAAATAGAGATAGAAAGGCTGTTTTTGTTCTGCGGGGCACTTAACAATCACTTGATGCTTTGAAGGAGATACATATAGTTAAATGTGTGATTAAATCGACCTTTTCAGATAAGCTTGTGTTTGCTTTTAATCTCAACCTTTAATTTAAAATGTTACCGTGTGAACTGAGCCTCCTGTTATTAATACACATTTCATATCCTCGTTATTTGCATGCTGCACTGCTCTGTACAAAGCGCTTGTCCTCACCGATAGCTATCAACAGACGTTATATTCAACATTTGAGGAAAAGGAAATAGTTCTATGAGGGTAACAATTTGCTTAGATTTGGATGATTTGGTCGTAGTTTGATGTAAGACTTTTGTATGTGTTTCTAATTCCAAGCATTCACTAATTGAGATAAGTGTGGCTGCTCAGCTGATAAGAGAAAGAGTGAGGTGAGAGTCGACTCACACGTTACGCTATCTGACAGAAGAGCAGATCTGCAGTCACTCAGGTTTCTGCACAACAGTTTCAAGACAACAGTGTGAATATCTGCAGATGAGTTTATCTTTGGGTAACAGTTCAGATAAGTGACTTTAAACACGTCTGAAACAACTGATCACCTCTTTTACAATGCAGTGTTTGTCTATGGCTCAATAAATTGATTTTAATCATAATACATTTAATTGATAACTACTCAAAGACACTTTACCTAAAGGTTTTTCAACTGCAACACTTGATCTCAAAGGGACATTACTCATGGACTCTTTTTTGAAGATTTGAAAGAGGACTTTTTGGTTAATAATAATCTTTTTTTGGTACATTTTAATACAAATCCAAATATATGAAAGTGAATCCTAAGTTTCCTATTGAGTTTCTTTCATTTGTAAAAGCTTTGAAGTTAATGAAAAACAAGAATGCAACAAAACTGTTTTGGACATGAAATCCCTAGACTTATTTTGCCTTTAGTATTATTATTATTATTTGATATTGTAAAGTCTTGTTTAAGGATTCATTAAGAGTTGTAAGACTTTCACAGGTAATCTTGGCTTTTGCACCTTATTCCAGTCAATTATTGCGAACACATCTTAAAGCCATGTTGTTTTGTGCATTACAAATGAAAAACAAAAACGATATGAGACACTTGTTAAACTGAGCCTTGGAGCTGTGAGTTTGACACCTCATAATCCAAACAGAGAGATGAAGTTCTCCTCTCAGGGTGTGAAGAGGAGTGAGGTTTAAATCTGGGGAACATGGGTGATGTCACGCTCTAACAATGTGAGCAGCTACATCCTCTCTGAGGCAGCTTCCTCTCACATATAACGGTCTCCTTTCATTCAGCTTTCATCATCAAATATGTTAAAAAGCAGGGCTGCAGCACCACAAACCAGAGACGGACATTTTCTGAGGATTTCAGTTTCCAAAAATTAAAGTTTTTAGGCCTAATTGTCTTAGTTCGTATACTTAATATCATTAACATGCACAAATTCAAGGTAACGTAAATACAAAAGTAGTCAAGTTTCAGAATTTGTGTAGGTATAAAAACAACAAAATACTGAACAGAACATTATCAAACAGTTCTACATCAATTAAATGCAAAAAAACAGAATTAATGAGTTAATTTAATGTACTTTCTTGTGTTTAGTCACACTTTTTTAAGGGGTGGGGTTGAATTGTGGAGGACTCATCATGACCCCCGTATATCTGACTGCACCTCTGCACAAAACACATCATAATATCACTATAACAACTACACCCTGTGAATCAAAAACAACACGTTAACCATGCATGCACACACCTGTTTGAGATATAAACACGTGTCTTCTTACCTGTGACGTTCATGTCCGCTGCAGGTGTTTCTCCGTCTGAAGCTGGAGAGAGATGAGACTCTTCTTCAGATTTCAGTCTCCACAGCAGCGGTGAGTTCCTCCTCTCTGCATCCCGGCAGCAGCTCCCCTCCTCGGGTCAGAGGGTGTGTCTCCCTCCGAGCGGAATGTGGACATACAGCTTCCAAATAGCATGTGTGAGTGTTGGTGTGTGTGTGTGTGTGTGTGTGTGTGGTAATCATGTTTATTCACACACACAGTGCGTTTATCTTCGACTGAAACTGGCTGATTTAATCTTTACGTGTTTCAGTGACCGCAGAGCGCCCCCTGGTGGTTAATATTAAGTTTATCATCAAACTGTTGAAAGTAAAGGTTCATGTTAATCTTATTGCATAATGATACAAGCATTTAAACCTTTTCAAACTGGTATTTCCACTATAGTTTCGTGCTTGAAAATGAGTTTCAATGACTTCGGCTACAAGTTTAATTGAGTTGATCAGTTGGTTTTTATTTAATAAGTCTAATCACTTAATTGAATAAGTTCATTTTCAGGTTTCCTTTCAGTAAGGTAATTAAAGTGCTTTGTTGACACATACATTACTCTAGATTGTTTTAAAACAAATATTTCTCATTCATTTAGAATTTAACTTGGCGAATTTGATGCTATTTTAATAGACATTTTACGTCCTATTGTTTTCCAAAATGACTATTTGTTGTGTACTTAAATTATTTGTTCACACATTGCTTCATCAGTTGTCTATTGTAATTGCTAAGAAATACCTTTTTTCCTTTATTTGCTTACAAAACATTTCCCATCCTTCATTATAACACTTTTCTAAATCTTCCTTCTATTTACTTAAGTGGCTTTTTGATTCAAAGTGAACGAAAGAAAAACAAAATAGTCCTACTGTGAACCATTCACTTTTTTTTTGTATTTCTTCAGAAAGTGAAATGAGCTTATCTTTTAGTAAAACTAGAACTTTTTTAAGGCCTTCAGCTATGTATGACCAATAGATGGCAGTATGTACCAGCACTCAACAAGCTAAACACAATCTGTTAACATACATTTACACACTTTTCAACAACAGAGGCTGATATAAGATGACTTATTTAGAAATAATTGAAAGATAGTTATTTTGATAATCTATTGATGTTACATTTCACCCAAAATGCCCCAAACACTAACTGTTCCAGCTTCTCAAGGGTTAGGATTTGCTTAATTTCCTTGAAAGTAAATACAAAATGTTTTAATATTCTGCCTTTACATTTCAAGATGTAATCTCAGGTATTTTTCACAGTTTTTAAACATTATATAACGGATTATTCAAGAACATATCATCATTAATGAAAGTAACCATTGGGTTAAAGCACTAATACTAACGCAAAAACTAAACACAAACGTATACAAACAGATTTATTTGATATAAAAGACAGGAGCAGTTTTTATAAAGTCTATATACACTGGTCAATGACAATAATGTGAAAATCTTTTGCTACAAAATTAGTGTAAACATTTTTTCTGGTTGGTCGTTTTTTTGACTCTGTGATGAGACAGAGTGCAGAGAACTTATTGTAAACAATGCACACCTCCCTCTCACTGAATAAAACACTGATACAACATGTGAAGAAACAGAAAGACAATATAAAAAAGGAGATTATGCTACGCTGTTGATCGTTGTTAGGTTATATTGACACTTATTGAGTTGGCACCTCTCAGTCCATGGCAGAAAATCACAGATGGAATATTTTAGTGCAGTTTTTGTTGTTTCGTGTGTCAGTTTTAAGTCCCAGGAGTCGAACACACAGACTGTATTTATATAATATTTATATACAGACACTTGGTGGCAGTACTGCTACAGTTTATCCTCTTCTGCAGCAAAATGAAACTAGAGAAGCAGCTTCTCAATAACCCTTTGGACACATGCTACAATCTTAAATAAGTATTTTGACGTTACAGCAAAAGAGTATTCTATTATAGCAAAAACAAACTCCTCCCGTCACCATAGTTTAGCCTCTTTGCACTGGTTACCAATTTATTTTAGAATCTATTTCCTACAGTACTTCTTGTCTCACAGTAGCCAAATGTTTTAGCGTACTGACATATTGTTATCAACCCTCTCTTCTAACTCATATCGCATATCTCAAACTGCTCAAGTTGCATTAATGCAACTCATCATGATCTGCTTTAACATAAACGTTTTCTTCCTTGTGGTTCCTTAAGGTGAAGCAACTTACAACACCTTTCACACCTCGAATGATCCGAGTTGTGTGCAGTTAATATTAAAATATAACTCTCTTCTTAACTTCTCAGATTGCTTTCATTTGAATAAGGGAGCAGACACAAATTGGACACAACTAAAGTATAACTTGTAGAGCAGAAGAGTGTTGTTTTGTTCTTTGGTATCTTCATTTCAAGAAACTTATATATTGGCCTTAGGTTTTAAACCACTACATTAAAAGATTGCGTGCTGAAAAATGACAGTATTTAACATTTTATTGAGACAGAATGAACCTTACTGGAGCCAGAGAATCAGCTACCTGTTTCTATCAGATCAAACTAACCAATAAAAGCTCATAGCTCATTCAGATCACAAATGCTGCGGTCATCTCTGAACAAAAAAGTCACCGCTATTAAAAGACACTCTGACTTTAGTTATATTTTGCATTTAGTTTGTGCCATTAAAACTCCCACTGACACATGTTCTGCCTCCTTCAGCCTAGAATACACTTTGATTGTCTGCTGACACACACACCTTACATGCTGCCTTTAGTCTTCACAAAGACAAAGAGATCTGGGCTTCAGTTTCTTTTGGTTCTGGCCATCATGAGTCCAGGTAGATGGAGTAGATCTGGTTGAGGCAGCGGTCGACGCCTCCTGCCTGGAACAGGAAGCTGTCGTCAGAGTACCCGCCCCCCCCCTGCAGCTCCTGCAACAGGTCGAACCCTGAGGGACGGAAATGCAAATCTGTACACAGCTCCTTTTCTTTCACGTGAAGCAGAGTGGGCAGGCAGTGGTTGTAGAGACGGACAACACAATCATTTGCTTATTGTTCATTCTATGACATCCGAAGCAGGAGGTCAATAAAATGTACACTCGTCATAGAGGGGAGCTCGATATTGTTATATACTTATAGGCAGTCATACTGTTGCACAAATTAAAGTGACAGAAATACTTTAGTCAAGCATTAAAAAGACAGTCAGAAGTCAAGTTTCCGGAATATCCTAAACAGAAAAAATGTGTCTTGATGCATGTTCACTTTTATTTTGTATCCCGGTAAAGTGTCTTTGAGCACCAGTAAAAGCGCTGGATAAAATAAATATATTATTATGTTTTCATCCAATATGGTTATGTGAATATTAAGGAAACATTGTATTTATATTTCTTTAATGTATTCATTGCAATCCTTTTTGCATTTTCTTTTACAATAACACAAGCTTTTTTTCAGCTTTGTGTGAAAACATTTTTGGGATATTTTTAGGCTATTTTCTTATTTTATTTTGGAATAAATAGTTATTTCACTCAACCCCACTAGCTTTCTCACCTCCACACATCTGGCCCCAAACGGCAAGAGGTGTGGCGGGAAGAGAGGGTATCAGATAATCTAAGAAGCCCTCTGATTGGAGGATATGGACCATTGCTCTGCGGTCTTACCTGTAGAGTGAGAGGTGGGGGGGTTTGAGAAGTAACTGGTGGGTTCGAAGCCCCCGTCGCTGCCTGGTGGTAGCGCCTTTCCTTCTCCGTACAGACAACCTTTAGGAAACATAGAGGAACCGTCAACACCACGAACGCTCTGACACCCTGATGCTGACACACTGATGCTGACACACTGATGCTGACACACTGATGCTGACACACTGATGCTGACACACTGATGCTGACACACTGATGCTGACACACTGATGCTGACTCCTCCCCTCCTCAGTACCTTGCTGCTGTGAGAACACCTGCTGCTGGTGGCTGTAGATCTTGTGGTACTCCTGCAGCTGGACGTCTCCTCTGTCTGAGGAGGAGCTCACCGGGCTGACGTCAGCCGACATGAACAGTGACGTCGGTCTGTTCCTGTTGGAAACACAACAACGGGTAACTATTATACTCAGTTCTTTCATATCAACATTTATGTGAGTGCAGGGACTTGCAAACACATTTCGAGGGATGGTTGCACATGTGGCGATAATCATTCACAGTGCATTTGTTTCAGCATTTGCCTTAAATCATTTCTACATCTAGAAGAAGAAGACTCATAAAAAGCTTGTGTCACATGACGGGGCAGAGGGCGTTACTTCCAGTCACTTTTTTATGGTTAAGGGATCTTAATCTAGAAATACAAGTTTGGATGACAGTGATTTAGATTGGTCTTAAACCACTAATTATGGGCTATTTGCTTTCATGCAATCACCCAAAAAAGAATCCTCCAGAGGCCTTGTGCACATCCTGGAAATATTAAGCCATTTCAACTCAAATACTGTATTTCTTTATCCATGAATATGGTTTCTTAAATCATAAAAAAAACTCAAATTTCAGTTTTTTTACAACTTCATTTGTCACCCACTTTATTTTCTTTGAATGTTGGTACCATTCATTTAAAGTAATGGTAAATAATTTATCTTAGAATAAGGCTAATTTGTAGCTATGCAACAGATTTGACTTCATTTCAATCTATGTATAGTTTTTTTAAAGTAGGTTTCGATAAAGTTGAACTCTCTGTAGTGTTCTGCAGTCTTTGATGCTGATAACCGTTATCCAGCAGTGTGGCAGCAGCTGTGTAATCACACACAAACATGTAAATACTTAAAACTGAACAAACAGTGCAGTTTATACAGGAAAGCGTTTCCAGGGGGGGTAAAATGGGCGGGCTTTGTATCCATCGTTACGCTGCAGGAATGTGCTGACTGTGCACAAACACTCTGACTCAACATGGAAACCATTGAGTCAGTGGAGCCAAGTGGACGAGAAGAAAGGAAAGACGAATATCTCTCCGAGGAGATATGGAGCTGAAAACCCCCAAAATGGTATTTAACCCCCCCCTCCTGCTTCTTCAAAGTCTCAGCAGTTCATGCGGCCTGAGAACTCTCCTGGATGATGGGCTGCAGTATATTCGTCCCTGGAGAAATAAATGGCCTTAG